TTATTATCATTAGGTCTCAGAGTTCATTTAGATTAAGTGTTTCCCATAATCATAGCAACAGCTGTTCTTCATAGCATCCTATGAAGACGAGGAGAATCTGTTCCACCATTTGAGCCTCAGTTTGAAGCTGATCCACCATGGGAAATTATAATGGCTCAGGGTGAAATGGGCGAAAATCCCATTGCAGTCATTCATCAGCCCTTGAACAGGAGGAGAAATCACCCTGAGCAACGAGAAAGACTTGGCATGGTACATCAATACTTCACAAGGTTCGTGTTTCCAGTCATTTAATGACCATTGAATATTGTACAATTTCAATATGGGCAAGGCAAATGCTCATTATACCCATTTCAGGTTGGTGAAAATGGGATTGCAAAACAGGAAAATTGGAAGGAACAGAGGAGAGGAACATGAAGAAAATCAAGTAAATGATCCACATCCACAAATGAGGCATTAGATGTGATACTATAAATATTTCATATTAGTGGTTGTTTTTATACCTACTGGATCAAATACTTCCAGACAATGTTCAATTGAATTAAACTTATGTCCAGGTGTATAATGTGACCAATCTCCATTCGAACCAGTATCATCCTGTGACAGTTTTAAATGAAAACAATGCTTATGAATAATATATTTAATTATGCATTATAGGACAATGACTTCTGAGAGGTATCTATTGAAAAATTGATTCATTTTGAATATCTCAAGTGAAACAAAATTCCCTTGGAATCATAGTCCAAAATCAAGTTTACATTCATTATAAAATTTCAATCAAGATATGAAACAGAAGCACAGGAAAATCTGAATTTCAGTTATGTATTTCAAGCTCTTTCAGAAATGTGGCAGTTTGAAATTGATTACTTATTGAAAAATGTTGACTGATTTTACTCACATTGAACTGACATTCCACAGGAACTTCTATCTCGACACTAAAATTGTGTTCATCTGCAATCATTATATCTGAAACAGAATAGATTACATCACTTTCTCCAAAATAATATGATTTGTATTTTAAAAAAGGTTTTGATGCTCTGGTCTACTTGCCTTTGTTCAAAACACTATCCGTATCATAAGGATTATTTAGCCCAGCCGTGTGAATCTGGCTGCCTGGCAGCTGGCAGTTGCTAGGATTTTCATCTGCCAGCATTTCCAATTTCACCCGAAGACCAGTGGCGTCACGTTTATTCAATAAAACTTACATCTGGCTGCCTGGCAGCAGGATTTCCATCTGCCAGGATTTCCGAAGTCACCCAAAGACCAGTGTCACGTTTTTTAATAAAAATTGTATTATGATGATTGAAAATTTTGAATAAATGTCTCATTCCCACATAAAGGCTGATCATATAGGCATTGGAATCTACATTGTTTTCCAAAATTGAAAGCAATAGGCAAATAATAAAAATATGATAATTGACTGACTGAACAATAATATATTAACATTTTGTTACACTTTTTATCAGGAAAGCTAGCAGGATTTAAGGTGATTCTGACATTGTTATATTTTATCAAACTTGGGAAATATATAGAAAAACCATTCTGTGTGGTAAACCAATTTCTTGCTGATGGGTTTGAGATGACATTTCACTCTTGAAAGGGATATTATATTATATTGGATAAAATCGAACCTTGTACGTCCCAATCGACTGTCAGGATGGAATGTGAAAAAAACAGTTCTTTGTGACATATTTTATCATATCTATGCGAAATAATTTCTTGCTAATGGGGATGAGTTGACGTTTCACCACTAAAACGAATAATATTTGAAAAAATCAAATCTAGTACTTCGCATACGACTGTAAGGATGAAATATGAAAAAAACTGTTCTTTGTGACATATTCGATCATGTCTATACGAAATAATTTCTTGCTAATGGGGATGAGTTGACGTTTCACCCGTAAAACGAATAATGTTTGAAAAGATCAAATCTAGTACTTCGCATTCGACTGTCAGGATGAAATATGAAAAAATAGTTCTTTGTGAAATATTTGATCAAATCTATACGGAATGATTTCTTGCAAATGGGGATGAGTTGACATTTCACCCCCAAAACGGATAATATTTGAAAAAATCAAATCTAGTACTTCGCATTCGACTGTCAGGATGAAATATGAAAAAAACAGTTCTTTGTGACATATTCGATCATATTTATACGGAATAATTTCTTACTAATGGGGATGAGTTGACGTTTCACCCCTAAAACGGATAATATTTGAACAAAACAAATCTAGTACTTTGCATTCGACTGTCAGGATGAAATATAAAAAAAAAACAGTTCTTTATGACATATTCGATCATATCTATACGGAATAATTTCTTGCTAATGAAATGACGTTTCATCCCTAAAACGGATAATATTTGAAAAAATCAAATCTAGTACTTCGCATTCGACTGTCGGGATGAAATATAAAAAAACAGTTTTTTGTGACATTTCCGATCATATCTATATGGAATAATTTCTTGCTAATGGGGATGAGTTGACGTTTCACTCCTAAAACGGATAATATTTGAAAAAATCGGATCTAGTACTTCGCATTCGACTGTCAGGATGAAATATAAAAAAAAACAGTTCTTCGTGACATATTTGATCAGTAGATAGTTTTTGCCGGTTCTGGGTCTCCCCCCAAGGCCAGAGGAGTGTGACCTTGGGGGGAGTGACCTTAGGGGGTGATCTTGAGAAGACGTGTCCTTGAGGAGTGAAGTGACCTTGGGGGAGTGACCTTGGGAGGGAGTGTCCTTGGGGAGTAGAATGACCTTGGGGAGTGACCTTGAGAGGAAGTGTCCTTGGGGAGTGAAGTGACCTCGGGGAGAGTGACCTTGGAAGGGCGTGTCCTAGGGGAGTGACCTTGGGAGAGTGGCGTCCTTGAGAAGACAGTAACCTTGAGAGGAGTGGTGGAACGACCTCGAATGAAATGCCCTCCGACGTTGTATGAGTGCACGCCCAATCGTTGCCGACCTTGTTCTCTATTGGAGGCCATTACGTAAGAGTGGGGTGCAATGCGGTCAGTAGTTGAAAGCGATACGACACGGCTCCTCCACATATAAATTCCGCATCGAACCAGTTGTGTCACAGTTTCCTGAGCATCGCTGATTCAGAGTGCGTGTTGTTCGCGGTTATATATCGATCAGCCAGAATGTTGTTCTGTAATGTTTGCGCCCAATCTTTCTCACGCAGTGATAACTTACGACGTCATCAAAGAGTGTCATGCATATGGAGTAGTGCTGGTCCATCTCATTCGAAAAAGCCTCGGTTAGATAATACCACACCATCAACATCTAGTAATCTGGAAGAATGTGCATGCTGTAACAAAACCATTCCTGCTGATGAGATGGCGGTCCATAAGAGAACGTTGGAACATCGGACGAATGCCTGCTCCAATTACATGAATGGTGTGTGTATACGTGATCGAGAGTGCGTTCAACTGTCGTATAATCAGCTATAGATTACAATGCAGGAGTGAAACATCGGATTACAATACTTTTTTCAATGAGAATTGAGCAACAATAACGTCACTATTGGAGAATATGCTTTCCATTCACCATTCCATCAAAGTTAATATGGAAATGTTTGGTAGATATGTTATTGAAGCAAAGAACATACGTGATAATGAGTCTTTCATAACTCCGAACCACATAATCGACTCATCCTTGGATTTGGGGTCCATCATCGATACATTCAAGGATATAATTATCAACCTAGCTACATAATTCGAGGAACGTGATTCCGGTAAGTTCAACCCAAAAACATTATCTCTCATTGAGTAATACTCGCCTGATTATAGAGAATAGTAGCTGAATATTAATATTCTTCACAGGTTGGGCTATAGAGAAGATACTGTTCCTCGAAATCAACGTGAACAAATCTAGCCCACTACGCGGGTGTTCCTACATAAAACTCCCTAGTTTCATCGAGAGCAAAAAGGCAGTAGTGAATGTACTCAACCAGGATGAATGCTGCTTTGCTTGGGCTGTTACGTCTGCACTGTACGCAACAAACACCAAACCTTGTGAGATGTCTTCGTACCCGCATTTCTCTACAGTTTTGAATCTGATGGTGGGTATAGAGTTTCCTGTTAAATTAAGAAATATCCCAAAATTTGAGATTCTAAACGATTGTTCCATCAACGTTCATGGTTTGGAGAGTATACTTGAGAATCGAAGGGTGATATATCAGGTGGTTGTTCCACTTCATTACGCTAAGAAAAGGTTCAGTAAACATGTTAATCTACTTCTTGTCACAGACGATTCGGGAAATAGTCATTACTGTTGGATAAAGAATCTATCTAGATTGGACTGAATTGAAAGTTGATAAATTTGGAAATGAGATACCCGAGAATATTCTGAAATTTGAAAATTAAGTATTGTAACTCCCTTTTTATATTCGAAAATATCAAAAGGGGTTTGTGTAGCTTTTATTGCTCTTGCCTTTGGGCTGCTCAGGATTGATACGGGAAGGTCGGGGTAAGGATCTTCGTCTGGTGTGAGAATTCCCTTTATTGGCCAATTTATCAGAAAATTGCGCTAATACCTCTTGGATGAGATAAGTTAATTACAAGGTTATTATTTAAGATAAGGTATGTTAGTTAAGTTATATTGAGATAGGTCAAGATACGTTAAATTTTTGTGGGCGCCAGGACCTTTTTAAAAAAAAAATATGCCAAAAAAAAAAGAATTCCTTAAGAAGAAAATCACTTGGGAAACAGAAATTCTCACCTTTACTTTTCCAATGTTACCTGTTAGGAGAGAAGATTAATAAAATACTGCATATTATGAAAAAACTAATTTATTGACATACAAAAATATTGAGCATATTTTTCATCTATTAACCCAGTAGTTCAGGTACTGAATATCACAACAAACAACTTAAAACTAAATAGGTACTCAATATCACAACAAAAAACTTAAAAACTATTTTGCTTGAGTGGTCAACTGAATAGGTACTCAATATCACAACAAAAAACTTAAAAACTACTTTGCATGAGTATTCAACTGAATAGGTACTGGATATCACAACAAAAAACTTAAAAATTATTCTGGAAAACTAGGGAACCAAATTGGTAGCTACTTGATTACAGCAAAGAACTAAAAAAAAAGGAAATTTGAAGACAAGAAATTACTTTTCTGCCAATTTCTCCAAAATCTGTAATAGGCTATCCTGTCTTTTCATTTTCTCCTCATGGCGCTTTTGGCAATCCTCCCTGAACTTCTTGAACCACTCAGGTTCTTCACCAGAACGTTTCTTCCTCTTTACTCCATGAGGAACATTCTAAAAACAATACCAGTTCAATTATGCTAGTAAGGAAATAACAATAATTAACATGTATTATATAGTCCCAGTGCTCATTCAATGATTTTCTGACCTACCAAATACACAAGCATATATTTACAAGTATGAATTCAACTGGAATTACCTGTACATTCTGATTTGAGGTACTTATATTTTCATGTGTGTCCTTGTCAACATGATCAGATGTTGATGGGCCTTCCAAGTTACTACATGTTGAAATTGGATTCACATCTGGATCTTTGGCAAAAATTTGATCCATATCTTTGAAAAATGGCCAATTTTTCACTCCTCTTCCTGATTTATTATTATTGTCAATAATACTTTTATAAGTTTTTTTCAAATTTTTAAATTTATTCTCACACTGCTCTGGTGTAACTTCGAAGTTACTGATTGACCTTATTTCCCCAGCGATAGATTGCCAAATTTTTTTGTTCTTGGTTTTTTTATCCTCAAATTTGAGTTTATTTTTTTCATACAATTGTATAAGTAACTGAACTTCAGGTGTTTTCCACTGAATCTTTTCCTGCACCTGGACCATTTCCATGTTTTCTTCCTCAATTTCCAGCTGATTTTCATCATTTTGACTCTCAGTATTGTAATCAAATTCATCATTCTGGGAAAAATCTGAAAAATTCAAAAATGTAAAAGAAATAATATGAATGAAAAAATGTTACCATATACCTTCAATCTGATCTTCATAGTCATGCATTTCATCCAGCATTTGATGACTTTCCATGTCCACTGGTTGAACTGAAAATCTGCATTGTAGAATTGTAATTAATCAAACAAAAAAATTATGTTTAATGTTTACCTGGAGATTTGTGAAATTTTCTCATATGTCGTCGGACATTGGACTCCTGGCTAATGAATCCACATACCTCGCATCTACCTAGGATTTCCTCGTTCTGCATATTTTTCAAGTGGTTCGGGTTTATACAGCAATTTGAGAAATTAAGTCTTTATTTTTGCTTCAATAGATTTTAGGTTATGTCTTTGTCTCATGTTCGTTAAATCGTAACCTGAGTTCATAACCTAATACGTTCGTGAACTATTTTATCTGGGTAGGTGATCCGAGTCAAATCTGAGTAATCCGTCACGTGATATTGGGTATCGGGTTGGTGACCTAGAGTAAGTTTCCGAAAACGCCTAATGACAATAAAGTTTGAGTGCATGATTTGTAATGAATAACGCTACTTTCTGTTTGCATGACTACTCAAAAAATAGTAAACATTTATTGAATTCTATAAAACAGATGTTATATTCAAATATAATGTAACTCACATATCCCTCATCGCTACAATTGTCTTTTAGTGATGGAAAGAGGGTTATTATGCCTTTGGCATATCTTGTCCTTGTCTCATTTGACGGCACTGTTCCAACACTCAAATCTTTCAACATATGGTTAACGCATATGTTGACAAGGCGTTTTCGGAATCTATCATCCAAACTCTTATTAAGTTGGTAACATCCAATCATCTTTCTTCCACCAGGGGCCTCCAAAATATAGTTTTTCAGATCCTTAAAATACCAAATGGAATACACAAAATCATCGAAATTTAGGGCTAGTTGGGGTATTGGTAAACGATTTTTACAAAAGAAACTTTGAAGTCTGTTAAAATGTAAAGTTGAATATTTATCTCATAATTTTTTTGGGTGCAGTTTTTTTGGAGTATTGTGTATATATGATTTGCATAGCAAGAATGAGGTCAGAGAATTTATCAAAATATTAGATGTTTACAATTACCCAAGAGAAAAAAACGTTATTGGAAATTTTGGGGCAATCGTAAACATCGTGTATGTCGTAAATATGAGTCCTGTTCAACTTTATAGGGGGTATTTGTGAACATAGAACAAAACCGATGTGATTTCGTTCTTGAACTGATGATATTTCGACTAATGTTTACAATTCCCCCAAGGATATTAACAAAATACTTTGCAAGAAATGGATTTATTCTACTCGTAAGTACAAAGGTTTGATTAGGTTATGTCTACTGTTTTTCGAAATTGTCTACTTTTCCAGGAAATGAGTAAATCACTTTACGTCCCAGAAATTTTGTACTGGGTTTAGGAAGAATAGCAGCCACTTCATCAATTGTGATGTAAGATACGTTCATCTCGTTGATGTAGAAGTCAGAACAGGTTTTGTCGATCGACTTGAGCCCTACAATGGCAATTTCACCATCATCTTCATCTTTATTTTGAACCACACAAACATATTTATATTGAATGGAGCTTTTGCCTATCCCAGTGAATTTGGCTAGAATGAAAGTGTCTTCCTGTAAGTCGTCCCACTTCACCTCTCCATAAACCACAGATTTCAATAATTTCGATGATTTTTCATTGATCAACGTGATCAGTGGTTAATCTTCGTCGTCTCTCTCATATTCTGCGATTAAATGTATGTCTTCCTCACTTTCAGTATCAGATGGAGTGAATTTAAATTTTTTTTCCCTTTTTTTGTACCTTCACTCTTTTCCATCTTTCGAGGCCTCTTGGCCACATTTCCTTTGACTTTCTTTTTTTCCTCAGCTTCCTCAAGCTTCCTCAGAACTTCAGGAGTTGTCAAGACTTCTCCGTAAGTAGACTGTCTCAAACGTGGAACGACTTTTCTTCTAGTGGCACTCTCAAGAACATCTGACGCAGTATTATTACATGCTTCCTGCAATTTTTGACTGAATATCTGAAGATTGCGGTTCGGAGTAGGGTGTTGGGAAACAACTTGTGAATTTGAAGGCGCCTTCTCTGGAGTCATCTCCGGTTGAGCCTTTTTAGGGTATGTTGCAGGAATAGGACCATTCTGCTCTCTAACCGATGTTTCCGGAGTAGGTTCCATATGCTCAGCACAAGATTGTATTCTCAGGGACGCAGATTTTTCTGTATTCATCACCGGTGGAGTCTTCTTTGGGTATGGTGCAGAAATAGGACCATTCTGCTTTATAACCGATGTTCCTGGAGTAGATTCAATATGTTCAGCAGAAGATTGTATCCTCAAGGATGCAGATTTCTCTGGAGTCATCTTTGGTGTAGTCTTCTTCGGGTATGGTGCAGAAATAAGACCATTCTGCTCTATAACCGAGGTTCCCGGAGTAGGTTCAATATGTTCAGCACAAGATTGTATCCTCAAGGATACAGATTCTTTAATGCTCTGCTTGTACTTTTTCAGTTTTAAGGGATCAAAGAACTTTCCAGAAAACATTGCAGAGTTGACAGGAAATATACCAGTATTTTCAAACCCTGATATAATATTTGCTGCTGTTATACCATCTCTCCAAACTTCGGCTAGCAGCTCCACAAATTTTTGTTTACTTAGCCTACCCGATGATTTGCCCATTTCGGACTTGCCATGGGCTACTAATATTTTGTCCCATTTGATTTTCACGGGGCCGAAAACACACTTGTCCAAAGGCTGTATCCGATCAGTCAAGTGGCTAGGAAATCGAAAGAGTGAGATATTGTTTTGGATAGCAGCATTTACAATGCGAACGCTTACATGACTGCAGTGGCCGTCGAACAGAAGAATAGCTGTCTGATTAGGTTGGTTATGCGTGAGTCTGCGAGCTTTCACCTCGAGAATAAACGATGTCACAAACCAATGGTAAAAGTGAGGCTCCGCCATCCATCCGTTTTTCGATGCTTCGTACAACGTTCCTGGAAATGCCTTTTCGGATGTCCAACGTGCCTGGACCGCCCCCCCTTTGAACACAATGAATGGAGGGAGATAAGTGCCGTCTGCAGCTATGCAGGCCAATACTGTTGTAGACTCTCTTCCTGAGCCCCCCGAAACTCGAGACAGAGCTTTCCCTCTTTCACCAATCGCTCTTACTCTCGAGGGATCACTACTGAATCCAGACTCGTCAGCATTAAAAACGAAATACGATTTATTGGGATGGTTGACTGATTTTTCACTCATTAGATCTTGAACCTTTTGGTAAAAGTCGTAGACCACGAAGGGATCCCTGGCGTCTTTTCGAATCTTTTGTAGGTGTTCAGGCTTCTTAAATGACAAATGTGAATGCCTTTTCATAAATCCCAAATACCAATCATGTGAAGGTACATTATTCTTGAAAGATGTTTTCAAATCTATCAATGTAACATATTCGCCAACCAAACTACACAACTCCTTCTCGTCAGCAGGCCAGCCCATTCTAGCACGAGCAATAAGACAATTTGCTAAAGTGTCTTCTACATCAGCAGGTAAGGCAGGCCGGCGCCCTGCTTTCAAAACAGTTATGGGATTCTTTCTACCTTTTATTCTGCGGTAAATGACAGCAATGGGAACATTGTAGGCCTGCTATGCTTGCCTGAATGTTTTACTTTTAGTCTGCACATCATCCACTGCATTAACAAGATCTGCTTGAGAATATCTTTGACTATGTTTCTGTTTTCTTTGGTAGTTTCTCACCATCGTTAAGCTTAAAGAAAAAAAAAAGAATTGTGTTTACAATTTCCCCAAACAATCAAACATGTTCACAATTCCCCCAAAAATCAGTTTACTATTACCCCAATTTTTATTTTACTGGGGCAATTGTAAACACATGTGAACTGGTCAGTCCGTGATAGATAACCTCAAAATATGCCAATGAGCTATTAGTTTACTTATAATCAATACAAATATAGATATAACACAGCTTACCTTGACCAATTTCTACTTTTTTTTGCGAAAAAAAGTGATCACTTCGAATCTGCTCACCAACTTTTCATACAGCAAGAACGAAAATTTTTTTTTTCAGCTGAACCGGTAGCAAAAACAATCGGTGTGAACAGTGAAATGCGGATGAAGGTTGCAGTGTCGCTGTCGTTGCTCGGCGTCATTCGTAGGCGCCAAATTCAAATGATATTGAACGTGTTCAAGATTGCCCCTGTTTGTGATTACCCCAATGAGCCCTAATAACTTATTCATACTTGAATGGACAGTTTTCTGTCTATAGTTTATCTGGCTCTCTTACGCTCGTTATATCACTTAATTTGGTAGTATCAAAATTGATCAGGGTATTATCCTCAAAATGGTCATTCGATGGATAGCAAGATACTGTTGTTCTTGAAGAGGACGCCGAGGCCTCACTCACAGTATCAAGACTTTGATATTGCACTGAAATTGTTTGTATTATAATTTAGTAGGATATCAAATACCTTTACGAATCACTTATATTTTCATAGTCTGCCGAATTAGAAGAAACACATTCAATAATGAATGGATTGAATCAGTTTCGTAACAATTTTTTCCACAGATAGGTACATAATTGTATATTTTCTTTATTATTTTCGAGTCTAAATCATATCTGGCAAAAACATCAACTATATAACATAATGTTCATTTACTTAGTATAGGTGTCTGAATTCAATGATAAGCAAATATCATTATTTCTGTCAATAAATTGTCTGAAATTAACGAGACACGGACCCCCGCGAACTATTTTAGTTTGAGTGCCTATAAATTTATTTGTTAAAATTGTTATAACTTTGCTTGACTTCTCCTGGTAAGTACATTTTGAAAATCAAAACAAAGAACAAAAGAACAGTTTAAATAATAAATCGAAGTATGTCAGTTCACGTACAAGATGGACCCAGTAATTAACTGATGAACTAATGAACTAACGAACTAGCAAGTGAAAGAGAATATAAGATTAAAAAATAACGATTTGCCATGTATTTCAATATGGTATACCTAATTCTCTATCCAGTGGACTAGACATGTTATGTTTGGAGAAATTTCTCTTGGAAACCATAAAAGATAATGGCAATGAAGTACCTATCGAATATATTTTTATTATCTAGAAAAAATTGT